AGGCCCCGTAGCTTACCATGGAACTAGATGGTGCTGTGTGTTAATGTCCCAACATATATTATTATTATTATTATTTGAATGAGTTAATCTCAGGAGCTGCTAAGCCGATTTGATAAATTCTTTTTGCATTAGATAGCCCGTTTATTGAGGAAGGCTATAGGCTATAGATATATCGTCATGCTTCTACTCAAGGGAGCGGAGCTGTAATATTATCTATATATAGTCTGAAGTAGATGGCTGGATGTCGTGAAGCAGGAAATGAGAGCCAATGGACTTACCCAGACTGATGCTAAAGACCGTGCAAAGTTTAGAGGCTAAGCAGGAAGGCAGACCCTGGCAATAGACGGGATTAATAATGCCAGGCAGAAGAAGAAATCTATCAATTCCAAAAACGTACCTGGGGACGAAGATGAGTCGCTAGTAAAAGATATTATTTTTCGTGTGTAACTTGTGATTATTTCGACACTGACTTACTATTATGTATAAAAACCAGATATTGAGATAAAATCAAGCAGTCTCACTTTAAATAATCACGATAATTATAGGTAATACATATTTATTATACAATTTCTAATACAAAGAATATTGTTTACATAATGTCGTTACGTGGTTTTTTAAATGTGCATATATCTAAGTTTGCCCTCATTTTAGAGATTATTTGTTACGTATGAATTAAATCACTAGTACTGTTTTTTTTTAATGAAATAATTTATATTTTAATGGCATTATACATATGCTTCTAGACGAATTTAATTGTTGCCTGTGTGAAATTAATTTTTCGATTATATTCAGTGTATCTTACACTGTAGGTTTTGCGCTGAATACGCAATATCCTAACGTTGTTCTATATCTTAAGCAAATCTATAAAGCTGGTACGAACAAATACGTAATTATGCAACAAGTAGGTATCGAACCTATGACCCCTATCGATGATCAGAAAGTTTAAGTTTTCAGTTTTATTTCATTATAATATTTGTCAATATAATTTGGTTCAGGATATCTTTATTGTTGAACTTTTTTATAATATAGTAAGAGTCCTATATTTACTATAGGCATAGCTAATACACTGGATATGGGCTGTGATTCTTAAAAAGGATAAATCCGAATATGAAGAAATTATCGCATTACGCTCTCACATTTTCAAACTAGGGATTATCGTTTCACTTTTTGTTTTTTTTTCTACTAAGATTTAAATACACATTTTTAGAGATTTATAGATTTTCTAGCATAGCCCGCGGCTCCGCACGCGTTCAGATGACCAAAAACCAAATTCTTAAGTTTTACATATTAGTATACTCTTACAACGCAGTTTTTGTACTTTTTCTCAGAAATGAGATATTTTCCCGCAGCAAAAATCCTATATGTTGACCCGGCTAACTAGCTATCACCATACCAAATTTCATCAAAATCCCTCCAGTGGTTTTTCTGTGATGCGGTAACAGACAGACAGACAAAAATTCTAAAAACTATAGATTCGGCCTTTGTATCGATAATAATGTCTATTTCAATAAGATTTTCCAAAAAATATTTAATGTACAAATACACGTTGTTATAGCAGCTATATTTATTGCAAAATCTGCTATAAAAACAAAATATTTGAGATATAACTGTGTTCGTGACAATGTTCCAATAAGCTTTAATGGGTATAGTAAATGGCGAATCGGATTGAGATTTGAGAATTCGTGGTCTACCTACATTACTTGTTGGCACGTAAGTACTACGAGAATACAAACAAAAGTACCTAGAAACACTTTACACAAATTATCCCATCAATATAAAACACACTATAACATTTTTAGTTTTTTACTTGTTTACGGAAAAGAAAGGCAAAGCCCCGTGGTAATGCTTTTAATGGTTTTATATAATATTAGTTTACCTCGGTGCTTTATGTATCACTAGTGACTTGACTCGCTTCGCTCGGACGCTTACCTTAAATACTTAGATTTACGCGAATATTTGACATTTTAAATAAAACTATCTTCTCGGATGTCTGTAACAAGTATATGAATAGTTATTGCAAACACACATAGAACAATTATATGGCTTAAATATTTAATATTATATTTTATATTTTTCTTTATGGTTATAAATATAATAATGGCAACACTAAATATAGATTACTAATTAATATTTTTAAAATTGTAATAATTATAATAATAACAGCAAAAATTAAATAAATAATATTCTATATTCAATTATATAATAATTATAATAGCAACAAAAATTAAATAAATAATATTCCATATTTGATTATAAAACTAATTAAAATTATAAAAATTTTTAAAGTTAAAAAATATTATACGGTAATTGGTGCAATTTTCATTTTGTAAATTGTGGGTAGGCTGTCTGTAACAACTATACTTTCGAGACATGTAACACCTCAGTCTCTCCCGTAACCATGATTGCTGTAAAACATTCGAAACGCCGGGAACCAAAAATCCAAATAAATCCGCGAAAAAATCCGAAAAGATAGTTTTATTTAAAATATCAATAAGATTTTCCAAAAAATATTTAATGTCCAGATTCGGCTCAGTTATAATTTTATTATATGTATAGATTTTATAACTTAGAAATTAATTATGAAAATGGACTGTAATATGGTCCAATCATATTATATAAAACGTCTATTGATTGTATAAATGAGCCTGATGTAATCATGTACCGTGGACCATATTCATAGCAAGATCATGTTTTTGTAGACATTAGCCAGTGACAGCTTTAGTGTAATAAAAAGTAGCTTAGAGACCACCGCGAGTTATGCCGTTAACATTTCTTACGATAATTCACATTCTTTATTGCTTTTTTTTACATAAGATATGTACCAAGTAAGTACTTTTATATCAAACTTACGGAAACCTCCATTGTCGAAGCAATACGAGCACTATAACCAAAATTTATGGTTTCTCAATTGGTCATAAAAACATTGTTAGAGTTTAGAGGACTTGTGTTAGAGGGTCTTCTTCTCCTTGACCTTATCCCACCCTTATCCCACCTTTACTTCTTTCCTCCTCATGATATGTCCGTACCACGCTAACAAATAAGCTTCTCAATCGCTGGTGCTATTTTCAACTTTCGACTTTGTATTAGAGGATGTAATTGAATATTACAAAGGCAAAACATATTAGTAGTACATATAATAATTTACACAAACATTAGATTAGAAATTTTACGGTATTAATATTGACACTATTTTACATATACTTAATAGTATAAGGAAAATATTGTAGGAATAATTATTGTTAGTTATATAATATACTCGAATTCTAGGCAAGAGTTTGAAACGTAAGGTTAGGATAATTATTTTTATACAGTAAGATAATTCAATGTTTATCTATACTGTTTTATAATTAATTAAAGCACATATATTGCCGAAACCCTTAAACAATGCGTTTCCTCTGCCAATTGCAACAATTAGATATCATTTGAACGCGAACGTCCTTCAACGGTTTTATTGTTTGGCCTGCATTGTAAATCTTACGGTGTTGTTACGGTCTAAGATTCTTGCGCTTGCGCAACAAAATCATCATATTGCACACGATTAGCATACAATACTCCTGATAAGCCGCTCCGATGGTGTTCGGGTATTGGCAGGTTGGTAATGATATGCGAACCGTTATTGTCTATTACAACCGTAACATTCCTTCCATCTGATTGAAGTCAGCTGGTCGCGTGCTATTATATTTTTATGATATACTAGCAGAACCCGCGGCTTCGCTCGCGCTAAAACTACAGAAAAACACTTAAAAAAGTAGCCTCTTATGGCATGAATTGTGAAAAATGCTAAAACACGTATTAATTTAATTGTATTGAAGAGTATTAATATCAAGTTTCACGTAATTCTGATCATAAATAATTTTTGGGTTGTATTATAACGTGTTTTCCCGTGGAATGAGATGATTTCCCGCAGTAAAAAGTAGCCTATGTCACTCTCCAGCCCTCCATATCACTCCGTTTCGACGTGAAAGAAAGACAAACAAACAAACAATCAAACAAACAAACACACTTTCACATTTATAGTATTAGTCTGGGTAGTATGGATGTACAATTGTACATACATATTATGTATACAGGCTTCATACCGAAAATATATGTATTTCCGCCCTTGGTAAAGTCTATAGTCAAAACAAATATTGCGTCTTTAAGTTCATATTTAGCTTAATTAATTATTATTATTATTGCTTGTCGTATGGCGCCTCCTAAAGTTATACTTTTCTCAAATATTTAAGAAAGAGTAAAGACAACAATCAGCAGTATAAATTCTTGGCCAAGGATTTTTAATATAGGACGGTTATACAAATTTTCTTTCCACATTCTCGTTAAATGAGGTGTGCAGGGTTGTGATATATGCTGGAATTTCTGAATCTCTAGCCTTACAGTCGCTTTAAGCGCTTTAATATTTAGGAAATTGTTATATATTATGCGTATTTCAAGCGCTGTAATATTGGCCGTGGCAAATCAGTTGGGTAATATGTAAATTAACAATAGACGAGCATCAGTTGTTCCATTGACTGCTTCTGATAGTCATGCTGGATGAGTTTAGTAAGAGAATAATCTTTAATTTATGTTGCAACATAGAAATTTGAATATAAAAACAATAGATCTACATTTGTTTTACAACTTAAATTATTTTCAAATGTGTATTTACCTAATCTATACAGATAAATAAAATTCAAGTGTCTGTAATGTCAAAATAACAGCGTTTTACTAAATTCATATGAAATTATATACGTTACTTATAAGAAAAACACAATTTTTTAAATTTTTGTCTCTGTCTGTTTGTTCCGGATAATCTCTGAAACGGCTGGACTGATTTTGACAAGACGTTCACTGGAAGATAGTTAATGTCATAGGGAGTAACATACGCTATTTTTATTTTAGAAGAAGAATTAGGATTTCAATCAAAACAATTAAAACATACCTATATAATAAAAACTAGAAAGTACTTGAATTAGACAAATTTATTAGACACTTTAGTTGATTGTTGTTTCTGTTTGTTTCAGCTTGTAGTAAATTTGGCCATCGTGGTATACCATGCGCTGGATTACACGCACGGAGAGGATGAGGAGCGCCTCATATCTCCCGATCTCGAAGGACTCATCACGGAGATGACTGCCGGCAATATAACTGGTAAGCTTCAATGTAATTTAAATTTTAATTCGATATTGTATACTCACAATACTTTGTTATAAATTAACCAAGATCATGTTCTTTTTAAAGGTCTGTTACTTAATTGATATTAGTAAGTTCTGAAATATATAAAAGACGAATAATAAATTTATATGAGAAATATATTAGATATTTGGGTTTGTTAATAAAATAATTAGTTCAAACGGCTTATTTAAGAAAAAATTGTTGGGTCTTAAAGCCGAATTTGGTTATTTTTCCTAAATTTCCTCCAGTACAGAAAGAGTTTTAAGTTCAGTTTAGTACTAAATTTAATGGTAAAACATCAAATATTACGGTTATATGACACGTAAGATCTTTTAGCTTTTGTTGAAAGTGAAAACTAAGATCGTGTTCTTTGAAAGTTAAAGTTCATGACTCTGTTTATATTTTCTATCATAATTATGTTACCGTAAAAGTAAATAAATAGTCACGGTTGAAAAGGCAGTACTTATAATAATTGATCTCTCAAAAACACCTACGTGGTAATACCCAAGTAAACTTTCCCTATTTTGATATTTTTTGTTGCCACGCTTGTCATTGCTAGCGACAATACGTATTGAAAGATCTATTATTGACCAATATCTCTTATAACTATCGATCAAAAAAGTACTAGATACACAATCAGCGACAAAAAATGCCACCACAGAATGAGCGCTCATTTGAACATTTGAGTGCACTTTTTTTTTGCGAAAACAACTTTAAGCATTGTATTTAAGGTTTAATTTACATTGACAACAATTTATAAATATTTATTTCAACTAGAATAATTACCTAAACACAATTTGTCACCAATTTTAAGAGAATATTCGTATGAGATTGTAAAATGTAAAACAAAACATTACTTTCTATTACAATTTAATAAAAAGTATATTAAATATTAGTATGATAAAAAAATCTATTTCGGTTCTCTCACGGTTTGCTTTAGAATATTTATTCTCAATGGCTCATCCAATTTATATTCAGTTGCGGCAATTAAATTGTCAGGAACCAATTTGATTGAAATAGTTAAAAAAGACTCCTTTCGTGCTAACTAACATACTTCAGTTTTGCTCAACTGTTTTATTTGTAACGTAATAAGTGTTTGTTACCAGTCTTTCTTACGATGGCATGAAGACAGTAAAAGTTGAGTTTGATGGTACCCCAGGGTTAGTAGGTAGCTGCCGTGATTCCCCATCTCCCATGTAATTACATTAAGTGGAAATTCTATGGTTAACAATGGTCTGAATCTTCAATTTTATATCTCCCATGCTGTGATTCAGATGAAGAGACGTGCGTGCAAACACGTTTTGTATAACCTTTATCGGTTCCCGTTAGATCATTGACGTGAAATTGGTTATACACCAGCTTGACCATCAGTCTGTCTATGAATAGATTTTAAACTTAAGTCCGATTCGCTTGCTCGTATCGATTTGATCCAATCACCTATAAATTTTACAATGTTTAAATAAATAAAATAAGGTAAGTGGAATTTCTACACAATTTGAATGCATATTTCTACTCGTGACTAGTTTTACTATTGTTTACATTATACATACATCTTCAATGCAGGTCGAAATGGTTTTTAGTGTATACAATAACGCGTGTGATCGTCAGCTGTTATGGCTAATTACAACGGTTGATAATACCGTTTTCATTGGTGGTCTGGTTTGCTTAGTTTGTTTACATTACGAAGAGAATTCAAGACTGTAGAATTTTCCTTATATATTATCCCAGCTCCTGGCTGTCATGAATTAGTAATTTTCTGTTAATTAAGGCTTTTTGTGAACAGTTACGTCATCTATACATATAATAAATTTGTAACTGATCCGAATTTGTACATTAATTATTTTTTTTTGGAAAATCTTATTGAAATAGATATTATTATCAATACAGAGGCCGAATCTATAGTTTATAGAATTTTTGTCTATATGTCTGTCTGTTACCGCATCACAGAAAAACCACTGGAGGGATTTTGATGAAATTTGGTATGGTGATAGCAACATATAGGATACTTTTTACCGCGGGAAAATATCGAGAAATGCTAGTCTTTAATAAGTCCTGTGATGACTAGCCGGTTCTTGTTTTTCATTTTAAGCTTTAGTAACTTACATAACCCACGCAAACATTTTCCTAAAACTTGCATTATGCTGGTATAATAACAGAAAGGTATTGTTTAAACATAATTGGATGAGAAATAACGCATATAGCGGCGGAACGGTAAGTACATATTAAAACACTATAAATCTTCCAGTAAGTACAATGGCGAGAAAACTCCATCATTTACATACACTCATCGCATTCCACACTTCTGTGAACTGTGCGATTTCCGGCTATTTTGTTTGGTTTGGATTTCAATCTTTTAATTATTTTGTTGATCTAGATTTTTAAATCCAATTACAAATCTATACTTTTATTAGATACTAGGCACTCACCCTCGCTCCGCTCGGGCCCTACTTACGTTTTAGCATTTAGTATAGATTTCTCAGAGATGAGATATTTTCCCGTCGTAAAAAGTATCCTATATGTTGACTCGGATAACCAGCTATCATCATACCAAATTTTATCAAAATCCTTCTCGTGGGTTTTCCGTGATGCGGTAACAGACAGACAGACAGACAGAGAGACAAAAATTCTAAAAACTATAGATTCGGCCTCTGTATCGATAATAATGTTTATTTCAATAAGATTTTCCAAAAATATCTAATATACAGATTCGGCTTAGTTACAATTATATGTATATAATAATAAAGCTCAATTACCTAGTTTATAAATAAATAAAAGTAGTTGTGTCAATATATATTAAATTAAAAGTATTAACAGCAAAATATAACTAGTTAAAAATATTTTAAATAAAACTATCTTTTCGGATTTTGTCGCGGATTTATTTGGATTTTTGTTTCCCGATGTTTCGAATGCTTTACAGCATCCATGGTCACGGGAGAGACCCGATCAGTCTCTCCCGTGACCATGGATGCTGTAAAGCATTCGAAACATCGGGAAACAAAAATCCAAATAAATCCGCGACAAAATCCGAAAAGATAGTTTTATTTAAAATGTCAAATATTCGCGTAAATCTAAGAAAGTATTAGTTAAAAATATTTCATCATCCGGCTTTTCGTGCATTTAAAAGAGGAAATAATAGCGTGAGAAAGTGATTAATATCAATAAACAATTTAAGCGTGAGTTTCTGCGCATTCCAAGCAAACTTTTGTACTCAATCAAATTACGTCTTGCACCTAACAAGGAAGACGGCTGTTAATTTGGACTTTCTCTCAACACTATCGCTTGTCGACTGCAGTGTTTTCTAATGTCCTTATAGACTGGATCATATGATATTTATGCTGTCGCAGTTTATCGTCGACCTATGCTCCGACACCAGTTCGAGCCTCCCACTGCGCCATCTCACAATGAAACGAGACAATCCGTTCCGCTTGCTTTTCACCACCCTTTCTAACTCTCACGGGCCAATTCAATCTAAATTGAGCTGTCATATTTCTGATTTTCCATTTATATAGCATATGTCGTTCGAGGTTAGTTTCCATATTATGTATGTGTATATATATATATATATATATATGTTCCATATGTATATATATACAGTGTAAACTCTTTATAACGAAACTCAAGGGACTGAGCATTTTTTGTCGTTATAGAGAGTTATCGTTATATGGAGTGAACAAAAAAAAACCAAATTAACAAAAATTTTTAATACAAGAATTTTTAATTGTATGTATGTCTTGCGTCATACTGCACGTGTACAAGGCAATTAAGGATAACAAAAGCTAGACCGACCTCGGATGTTTCGGAGCTTCAAAGTCTTTTGTTACCTGATAACATAACATAAACAATAATACCGATAATAAATATTTACTGTCTAAAAATATGAACACATTTCTTCGTAATAGAGAATGGCGTATCGCTATAAAGAGTGTTTCAATATGTGAGTTTTAACGCAAACCAACCAACTTGGGCTCACTCCAACGTTATAGGGAGTTTATCGTTATAAAGGATAATGTTATAAAGAGTTTACACTGTATATGTATATATTTATTTGAAAAATATTTTCGTCACAGTTTGCAGGACAAAAAAGTATTAAAAACCATTTTTCCCACGTAATTTGTATGGGAAAACTTAAAATTCAATGGAGAATCTCTTAAAATTGGAATTTTGAGCTCCGCTTTTAACAAGAGCTTTGTTGGACATTTTCTGAGATAATTTGGGGTGAGAGTGAAGAAAAAAAAATATCGTCATATTTTGGCACACCCTAATATATTATATATATCTCCCTTGTATCACTTATTTTTATCGCACTTTATATTTATCATATTTTAATGGACGGCACCGAAAGCTCCGTTTTTTACTCGTGATTTAATGCTCATCAATATGCGAGCGCTATACTACCTGTTCGTTCAGATAATACTCGAAAAGAACCAGTTCGGAAAAAAGACCATAGATTGACCTAAAAGTCTAATTAGCCTATAGCTTCGTAATTTGGCATTCTATAAAATCGTTGTTGCGCTGGTTTCAGATTTATTCATTCTAATTTTATATTGCTTACCCATTTGGTATGCCAATTAACAGCTTTTATTTTTATTTTTGCTCGTAATTTTCAAATTGCTTCGACATGAAAGTAAAAAAATCACCTACATATTTAATTATATTCTGTATGTTAATCTTCATTTGTTTCAATTTTTTATAATATTTTGACAAGGATTGTCACTAATTTAATGAGAAAGCAAAAGATATTATTTAAAACTTTAAACGTTTAGCTTACACAATTATTTTAAAATAAAAATTTATTTAAAATTTCTTTCTTTCTTAATTTAGTCAAATATGACTTAATATTTCATTTTTGACCATTTATTTTTATTTAAATTAATGTCAAGTTGCAATGGACATCAAGCTTCTATAAGAAGCCACATTGTATAGTCTGTCCATTTACAATCTATACTAATATTATAAAGAGGTAAAGTTTGTGAATT